TTTAAAACTAAAATACCGTTTGATACAACACAAAAGAACCAACTAAATACACTATTTCTGTCTATATAACACATACATTTGAGAGGTTATTGCACTTTATTCTATAAGACCTCCATGCAAGCATTGCAAGTTTCAATGGTGTTAAGCAGATAATAGATGCCATGCTGGATATACACTATGTAATTAATTGTCCTGGATGATGGATACGAAACTCAGGTTCTACACTGAATAATTCACAGTATGGCAGGTCAAAATACTTTCACAAAACCATGTGCTGCTTGACTAGTTTTTCAAGAACAGTTGTCTTCAGTATCATCCCCATTTGAAGTTCATTTCAAAAGTAATTTATCTTGTGTTGCCTTCAATTGCTCTGCTGTCATGCCCCAAGGCAAACTGATCATTTTAATTTATTTAAAATGTTAAGACTTCATTTACAAAATAATTTAAAGTGTATACTATTATTTTACATGTTGATAATTAAACACATTTAATTAATATGTTTTCGGCAGTTTGGTTGGTATATATATCACCACTGAAAAGTTAAATGTAGTGAAGTTCACTATAAATGCTTTTTCATAATTAAAGCTTTTCTTTGTTTATGAAACAGACACAATCCATGTGCCAGATGCAAAGATAAACTCTAAGAGAAGAAAAAATTAATTCAACTCAAATCACAAAGTTGAAATACATCTTGCCTGCCTTTGTGAAAGTAGAGCTTTATGTAAAAGATTCAAAAAGGGGCAAACAGGGAGGAACTTTTATGCAGAAGAGACATGCTTGGTCTCTTCTGCATTAAAGTTACCTACCTGCCTGTCCATCCCTGTACAGTGAGATGCACAGGCACAGCTCACTGTATAAATTTGGCTATTGCCAAATCTGAATGAACTCCCATGTATGCATAGGAGTGACATGAACCCCACCCAGCCAATCAAAGTGGCCGCCTGAAGATGTCACCAACTGGGAGGGGAACCCCAGGAAGCATATGCCTGGATCCAATGTGAATATAGTTCCACTGTAATGTTTTTACCCTTGAGAAAACTTTGAAATAAGTTTCAGATCTCAGGAACACCCCAGCCACAAGTTAATATTTTAGCAACTCATGGCAAATTTGTATGCTCAAAAAGCAAAGTATTTAACACCCAAGGCAGATAATTTTTACTTAAAGTGAGACCAAACTTAAAAAATCTATTATAGTATGTATTTTTAAGTCAAACAAGTACCTTCTATTGCTCTCAGCCTCCTCCAAATCTCCAAATTCTTCTTATTTTTGCTGCTGGAATCTGACTTCCTGTTAGAGGGTGAATACATTCATTATCCATGGTCCCACTGTATGTAGGAATGTAGCCACCCTCACTCAATAATTCCTGAAATGGGCATGCAATTCAGCTTTCACAATTTTCTACACTATCAGAAACTAAAAAAATGTATTTTCATACTCTTCAAACTAGAAAATATAGCCAAACAGTATTTTATTTTATGATTAAGATTTTGGTGAGATGACAGGATAAAATCTCTGTCATGTCATGTTTTTATATTTGTGTCACTGAAACAGTAAGTGACCGAAGACAGCAATATAATACTGCTTATTAGTAGAGTGGAGAAGGGTTCATCCACACCTCTCTTTACATGTACATTGTGGTGCTGTTATTTTCAATGGCACTCACTTATTTTCATTTTACAAGGATAAGGAGTGTGGAGACACCTCCCAGTAGGAACCCAAGTGGCAATAAAAACCTTACACAGGGTCTAACATTTACCCACTGTATCCAGAGTGAAAAAATAAGGGTTATGGCTTTAGTTCCCCAACAGGTATAGTAGGGACTCCACAAATTCCCAAGGAGGAAAGTATAAAAACTTTATTACACTGACGTTTTGAGGAGATACAGCTTGCCTTTCTGAAGGCTCTCAAGGCAGACTGTGACTCAACAAAACATTGGTGAAATAAACTTATTATACCATCCTCCTTGTTCTTCTGTGGATGCCCATTGAATGTGTACTATATCTGTTTGCTACCTTATTCAATTTTTCAATTTGTATACGGCACAAAAACACGATTCTCTGATTAGAGTGTTTATATATATATATATATATTATATTTATACCATTTTTTTATAGAATGATTTTCCATTTTTCCAGCTAGTTTTAGTTTTTTTTTTTTCTCCCTTCTTCATCAACCTTATCATGTTTATTACTTAAATCAAGTGTGTCTCTGATTACACAGCCCCAATCATTCTTTATTTAGAACCAAAACCATTTCAAATTGTTGATGTGCCTTTGTTTTACAGATATATGATGGGAAAGACAACACTGCTCACTTGTTGGGAGCATTTACAGCATCTACGTTGAGAGGACTGACCCTGAGCAGTACATCAAACCATTTATGGCTGGAATTTAACTCAGACTCAGAAGTAACTGATGAAGGTTTTCAGTTAGTCTATACTAGTAAGTATACTTTATAATACAATTATTTACAGGCTGTGGTTGATTTGCTGTTTTATTAATTGCCATGGTTAACCATTTCCTGTCCGGACACTTTTACCCCCTTCCTGTCCAGGGCAATTTTCAGCTTTCAGCACTATCACACTTTGAATGACAATTGCGCGGTCATGCAATACTGTACCCATATGAATTTTTTACCATTTTTTTGAGACAGATAAAGCTTTATTTTGGTGGTATTTATTCACCGCTGGAATTTTTATTTTTTTTACTATGTAAATGAAAAAGTCCAAAAATTTTGAAAAAAAGTGTTTTTTTTAAATAAAATTTTGCAAATAAATAATATTTCATCCTAAATCTTGGCCAAAATTTATTACGTTATTTTTTTAGTAAAAAAAAAAATCCAAATTAGTTTATAACCAAAAATTATAATTTTTAAACATTTTTTTTTACATTTTTATTTTATTTTTTTTTTTATTATTTTTTTTTTTTTTTACATACTGTCACCCTAGCAGTACAGTGTCACCATGGTGACACTGTACTATTTGTGGGGGGTGATGAAGATTTTTTTTTTTTTTTACACTGATTGCTTTTACACCCATATAGGATGTAAAAGCAATCATTTCTCTTTCTCTCTGTCTGCATTCTTGCAGTCATTGAGAAATACTGAGTGAGCTGTGATTGGTCACAGCTTGTCACATGGTACAAGGCTGTTGTGAATAGCCTTGTACCATGTGACCTCTGTGATCATTCACAGATTTCACACGTAGTAAGCAATGATGTCACAAGTGACATCTTCCTTACTACTTTGCATGTGATCACTGATTCGCCAATCAGTGATCACATGACCGGGACCTCGTACAGAGGTCCCGTCCGACGATCGGTGTTGCACTGTGTCCGGAGGACACAGCGGACACCGGATCGCGGTGGTGCGCGCTCCTAGGGAGCGCGCACAGCTAGAAAAGGCGGGTGCCATTTAGGAACGGCAACCCGCCCCTGAACTGCCACCGCCCTGCCGTTTATAAACAGCAGGCGGACGGCAAGAGGTTAATGTACCATTTTACTAATGTATTATTTGGCATTTAAACGTTTGAGAGTTGTCAGAACTGCAATAGTGTAACACATAAAGAAAAAAATAGGGCAATGCAGGAGTTTATAGGACAATGGGAATCTATATTCAACTCAAGTTGTTCATGCGCTTTCTTATGTCAGTTTTGATGTTTGTACCTGCAATTTATAAACGTCTCAATTTGTGACTGCTTCATGTAGACCGCTGATCTTATTGTTACTGCACCCACAGCTGTTTTGTGTTGAGTTTCCTAGTTAAAAAAGTGATATAGTCTTAAATTTATGGAAAATTACAAATCTGAAAATTGCGGTTTCAAAAGTAATTGTACATATTGCCCAGTATGTTCTCTGCTGCTTGTTTGGTTTGATTTCAAACAAGGTAAAAAGACCATGGCAAATGCAGCTTTTAAGGCCCTTGGTGCTTATGCCTGTTAGTATAAAAGGAAAAGGACCTTCAGACCAGCACATTATGTATACAATTGTCTCCCTTCTAATAGCTCTTTATATGCTTTGCTCCTGAGATAAATTTACCTTACTCGGGCATATTCTAATTCCACAAATTTGAGCATTATTCAAGTAAGCAATAACAAAGCAAATTATTTTATAAAGATGGCACAGGTCCAAGGTCTTTCTGCAAATTATAACCCCTGAATATGATGGTTAGTGGACTACAGCAAATCTGACACATTCAGGATTTTAAAAAATTTGTTAGTACACTAATGCTATATGTCCTATTGCCTTATTGCACTAGTGCACATGTGGATGGATTCTCATTAGGAATGGGAAGCTCCCTTGACAATTAGCAATACCAGCAGTGCTGACTCAATATAAAACTCATTGCAAATAAATGCAGATGTAGAGAAAGCACCCGTGGATGTACACTATTAAAGCTTTTCTATGCAACAAGTCTGTCAACAGACTGTTGGAAGAACTATGGCAGCTGGATTTTGCAGAGACTTAAATCTTAAGAGGCAGTCCACTACCTCCGTGCATTCCAACTTAGGCAGTTTTACTTTAAATGTACTTTCACCCAGAATTCAACCACGACTTGCATGTAGCCCCAGCTTGGACCCATTGTCAGACAAATGCCAGTGTCCTAAATGAAGTATAAGGATTGCATATTATTTACCCGGAGGAACCTAAAGGTCTAAAATACATTATCAACTTCTACATTTGTCACTTATGAAAAGCGCTTCAACATTTGCCACCTAAAAGAACTGTTATTTAGGTAAGGAATACATAAGCTTGTAATAATAAATAATAATAATGTAATAATAAACAGAAGGAAAACGGTATATTTTATTAACAGTTTTATTTATTTTTATTTACTTTTTACAGGCTTTGAACTCTCTCACTGTGAGGACCCAGGTGTGCCACAATTTGGATACAAAATTAGTGACCAGGGACATTTTGCCGGCAGCACCATCATCTATGGATGCAATCCTGGTTACACTTTGCATGGAAGCAGCCTATTGAAATGTATGACTGGAGAGAGAAGAGCATGGGACTATCCTCTTCCATCTTGCATTGGTACAACGCTTTTATTTTTTTCTGTGGAAGTTTATTTTTCATCCTCTGCTATCCTGCATTTCATTTCTTTTTTCTTTTATTAAATATTATGTTTACCATCATATGCAAATATTGTGGAGCTCCCTTAGTGTTTAATAATTCTTCAATTCTTACTGTTTCAATTAGCTGAATGTGGAGGTCGTTTCAAAGGAGAATCTTCAGGCAGAATTTTATCACCAGGATACCCCTTTCCATATGATAATAATCTGCGCTGTACATGGATAATTGAAGTGGACTTGGGCAATATTGTAAGGTAAAACGATAAATGCTTGAAATTTATAAACATTACAAGACATATCTTGGCAAAATATATTTGCTGACATTTCAACCTTTGGTGCCAATACAGACAGCTACATATAAATAATAAATGTCTGTATACAGGTTATGAATTTGTCGTTCAGAGTCTTGCTTTTTCTGGAAACAAATACCTGTTTCAAGAAATATTGACACTAAATAACTTCTCTTGAACATGTGGGGAACATTGATAAATAATTTAAAGGGAATTAACAAAAAAAAAAACCCTCTCCTCTCCTCTGTTCTCCTCTCCTATCACCTCCATCCTTTTTTCTCCTTCATCATGTTTCTCTCCTCTCCCCTCAGTCTTATCCTCCACTCTCCGATCCTATCATCTCCCCTTTCCACCAATGTATTCTATCATCTCCTCCATGCTTATCCTCTCCTCTTCTCTCATCTCCTTCCCAATCTCCTCTCTTTTTTCCTCCATCTCTTCTATAGTACATACTGTAGTTAAGACAACATAGAGTGATTTAATCCAATAATAAACTGTATTAAAATGTTTTAATTCTTAGATTAGTATATTTATATATTAAATCTATCTATCTATGATCTATCTACTCTCAATAATTATCCCATTCCCTTCAATTTTAATCAGTTTCATCCCATTATTGTAAAGAATAGTTCAATACTTATAAAAGACTACAAAGTCCTATTACACTGTATTTCCCCTGTAGCATCAGTAATTTGGAATATCTGAATAATTATGTCTGTAATGTGTGGCTTACAGTTGTTCCTTTGAACAAACAGTACCGAAAATGATGTGAAGCAGTACAGGCAAATCCCACAACTAATCCATATGGGACTATGGCTAATTAATCATGACAACTGCCTCAAATCTGTTATATTCTTTGCATTATTGCAGTATAGAGTAGAGAAAAGCAGCCAGCAGTAGCTCACATTAGCAAGATGCCAAATCAATACAGATGAAGCAAATACCAATTCACAGACTGGAAATGCAGCCTCATTGGAAATCACCCCCCGTTTTCTGTGGAATGTGGGATCCAACATGTGGTGTTACCATGTGGTAATGCGTACAACCTAAATGTAAGAAAGCAAACACAGCTAGTACAGACCCACCCCAAAGTGGAACTTCAAATGCTAACCACACCCATCAATCCACCAGCTTAACTCCAGCCAAAATGTTCTTTATTGCTATCTGTGTTTCATTTGGTAATTTTTCTTTATTTCCTCTATGTTGGAGACCTGCCAAGTAGACAGAAATCTCCTATATAGAAACAAAACTTGAAGTTCAAATTTTGCCACACTCATCAAACTGAAAAAAAAAACAACATTTTGGCTGACGTTTGCCTTCAATTTAGTCTGGAAAATTTCCTTATTGATGTGTTGTTTTAATATTTTGCACTGATGTTTGTGGTCAACAGTTATGAATATGTACGAGGGTTCTTGAAAAAGTTTCTGCACATTCATATTTTCATTGGAAACAATGAGGGAGGGAGGAGACGTAATTTATCGTGCCTAAGCATGTCATGTGACTGTTTGGCAAGCTGGTTGACCTTGTAGTTTATATAAGAGTTGTCATGTTGTTTTTGAAATTCTTAATAAATAGAGTCAAAAAAGTGTGGAAACTTTCTGAAGACCCCTTGTACATTAAACATAAAGAGAAGAAAGAGGAGAAGTTAGATTAAAGCCATCAGTATATAAAATCACTAGTACTTATTTTAAAGGCATACATCAAGTTATAAAAATGTAAATTCCACCATTATAAGACATTGTAATTTGACAGGTAGGTAAGCATCCTATTTGATGTATTTGACACATTTGATTATGTGATTATAATGGGGGGGGGGGGTGTAGGAACTACCTTCTGGGAACCAGTAACAAGACAAGGTTAAATAATATATCACCAGCACACTGTAGCTTCCTGATGATGGGGTCCTGTGTGGCCCCCAATGGAAATTTTGCAGTTCTTTGCTATGATGTGAACGCTGTAATACATTTTCAGACATTATTTTGAAAATCCAGAGTGTGCTGGCAATGTATGCTTTAACATAAAATTATAAATCCATGCTCAGGCAACTTAGAAATACCCAGAAGAAGCAACTCTTGAAATATCTTCACATACAATAAAAATACAAAATATTCCCAGTGTTGTGCTATTTCCTTCTAGTGCAAAAATACATCAATGCCTCTTAAAAAAAAACTTAAAAATCATCAAAATATATGTAAACTAAATAAACTGGTAATCCATATAGGAAGTGCATATAAAACCATAATCCATATTGCGCATCTCAGTGTGAAGCCAAAACAAAAAACATATATCCAGTACACAAAATAAGACTGTAAAAACCAAAATTCAAGTCCAAAAAGTAACTGCAGAAGAAGCCAATGTAATCCCAGTATTTTGACAATTTTTAACTCCAGTGCAGGATTACACTTATCACCTTGGCATGTGGGTATGGACTGATAGATGTGCTATCTATCTTGACATAGAAGTCAGAGGAAAAGGCATGTTGTGGAGAAAATATTGTGAGCTCATTTTTGGATAGATTAAGTTTCATACATATTAATATATCTGTTAGTAAAATAGTGATATAATAAGAGACTGATGGAGTGAGTAGTAGAAAGATAGAATTGGATGTTGTCAGCACAGAAATGGTTTAAGAAGCCATGGGAGGCTATCATCTGACCCAGGGAGGAAGTGTAGATTGAAAATAAGAGAGGTTTAAGGACAGAACCTTGTTGGTGACCCCAACAGAAAAAGGAGGAGGAGAGAAGGAGGTAAAGTTGTAAGTGACACAGAGGGTATGATGAGATAGATAAGATAAGAAGCAAAGAAGAGCACAAGCAGAGAGGCTAAAGGCATTTTTTGAGGAGGAGGGGGTGATCAACTGTATCAAAGGCAGCACAGAGGTCCAAGAGTAAGTGTGCAGATATAATGATCATTGGTTTTGGCCATTAGTAAATCGCTGGTGAGTTTTAGGAGAGCAGTTTCAGTGGAGTGTTGCAGAGGAAATGCATACTGAGGGGGAAGAATATTCTCAGTGAGGTGGTAGTTCAGACAGTTATAGACTATGCATTCAGGGAAATGGGTCTTTGGTTGGTAAGATTGTTGGGGTTCAGAAAGGGCTTTTTAAGTATGCGGATGACCAGTGCCTATTTTAGAGGGTTGGGAAAGATGCTAGAAGAAAGGGAGTGATTGAAGATGTGAGTTAGAGAGTGTACAAGAGCAAGAGTTTGACCATAACATTTGCAAGGGAACTAGGTCCAAGTGGCAAGTGGTTAGGAGGACAATAGAAAAATGTTTAGCAACCTCCTCTACAGTAGCAGGGTTAAATGAGGGAAGTATTGAATACATAGGTGGAATGCTAGGTGAGGGAGATATCTGTACAGTGGAGATCTCATCATGACTTGTATCAATCTTATTTTTGAAGTGATTTGCAATCTCCTGGGCAGTGAGTGAGTTAGTGGGTGGAGGCATTGTGGGACAAAGTTGAGAGTTAAAGGTAGAAAGGAGTTCATCTGGATTGTGTGAGAGTCTGTTGATGAGAGTAATAAAACAGGTCTGTTTGGCAATGGGGAATTTTTATTTTTAAAAGGTAGATTTATACTGGGTGAAGTATTGCTGGGACCTAGTCTTACACCACAGATGCTCAAGAGTGTGGCTACACTTTTTGAGATGTCTGGTGTCATCTCTTTGCAAAGGTTGTAGCGGCTGGTGCCTGATTCTGTGTAGCGAGGGGGGCAAGTGTGTCCAGGGAGACAGAGGTGGCTAGGTTGAGGCAGAACACAGGTGAAATTTTCTCATACAGGTAGTCTGTTGCAGATTAGAGAAGATAAAGAGTTAGTGCTAAAAATGGACAGAGATGAGTTTGTTACAGAATGAGTGCGCTTTCCTAAAAGCCCATGAGAAGAAGATGTTCATGGTCAAAGTTAAGTGATGGAGACCCAGGATTTGGTGATATATATCCCAAAGTTAGGTGTAGCTGAAGGGCGAGGGAGGTAACATGGGAGTGTGATATATATGAAGAAGCATGCCCCAGTGTTCGGGAGGTTTTATTAGCTTGTGGGTTCAGAATTAGCAGGAGTTTGAGTGCCCTAATAAGGAGAGGACACTAATGAAAGTGATATATATGAGCTGCGGGATGGAGAACAGGAGTGAAGGAAAGAGAGTTTAGGGAGAGAGGACACAACAGTCAAAGTAGAGGTAGACCGGTTGCAGATTTTTTCTACATGAAGTAGCTGAAGGGCAGTTCAGAAGAATAATATTCAATCCAAGAAAAAACTACCCAAGAAGAATAATTGTCAGTGCAACCCTAGCCTGTGCTATTAGGGTGGTCTAGATTCATACTAAAATGGGTGGGTGATAATTATCTGTTAATTACTAGAAATTAGTGATCTCTATTAAAGTCAATAACAGGATGATGAAAAACAAAGGAGCAGACTTCACATAACCCAGTCTGTACTTTGTATTGACTATCCTTGTTGTTAAAATAAGCAAAACAGGCTTACTTTTTATTATAACAAGCAAGGTGCCTTCGAAATGGCTAAAGATGAAGAAAACTGTTTTACGGGACCATAGTGAGCCTTATACGTAGGTGGTTTCACAGCGGGTGAGTATATCTTAGTATATATGAATGTTATCAATAAGTTATCAAAGGAGCAGTAGAATTTACTTGACAGATGCACGTAAAGCTCAATTTTTTTCATCGCTGCTTGATTAAATATTCAAAAGCATGGTTGAGAGACAGAGCTTTTTCACTATGTTAATTTCTAAAATTTGTCAAAATACAGGGAACAATAGCTGGTAGACAGTCAATGAATAAAATAGTCACTCAGTGATGAAAGCACGAAGAACAGCATCCGGCATTGCCTTTAGATCTGCACCCTTTCTTCACTTGATGATGATGACGTTATGATGTATCTAGAATATTAAAGATTTTTTAAAGGGTAGCAATAGAAATGATACAAGAAACTGTCAAAAATACCAGCAGAGATTTACTACCTCTTTTCATTACTGTAATTTTCTCCTTCAAATGCTTGCATTAGACTATTCTTCTTTAGAACAGTGACAAATGGTAATGTCAGATTGCCGACACTGAACTGATCTCATTCCTCTGTTAAAACAAATTGAAGGTAATTGACAATTGAATATAAAATCATTAAATTACCTTGCGTGACTTTTGATGAACTCTGATTAACATAAAAATCTTGAAATTTACATGATAATCATGCAACTTTTATTGTGTTTCCTTGGATTTCTTAAAAAGTTGTAACTGCTGTATTTGCAAGATGTATGTTTTAGCACGTCAAGGGCAGCAAAGCAGTTTAAAGCTGAACTGCAGGCAAACAACTAAATACATACTTGTTAACTTTTATTAAAGTCCATTTTTGTAATAAATGCAACAGCACTCCCATTTCCTTTAATTCTGTATTATTAAAACTTCTGTGGTCGAGTGATGTTGCAGTCTTGAGTCTTCTCTTCACTTCTGATTACTTCCAGAAGATCCTTCTTGGAGTGCCATGATCACTGCCAGTATAATGTGTATACTTCCTATTAGCTGTCCAGCAACAGGGCACACTCAATCTAGAAAAGGAGGGATGTCTTTGCAAAGGGGTCTGTCAGGCACTGGCTGAGGAGGGAGCATCTGCAGCATTATATTAGCAGTCTCCTGTATGAGGATGAGCAGCAGGAAGTTGGATGGGGGCATTTAGATGAGTATAACTTGCTTCATCGGATGACAAGAACAAAATGTAGGATGATTTATAGGGGAGTGGCAGTTATAGGTCACTGGGGAATCATATTTTTGCTGGAGTGGGCCTTTACCTAAGAGATTTATTATTCCATTCAACCAGTGTTGTGTCCCATTCACTCCTGCCAGGCATAGATCAAGTTGGTGTTCTCACTATTCTCCACTGCAGTAAACCAATGCAGCTTGGTCAAAGGTCTATCCTCCTACTGTTAACTGAATAATTAAGGAGATTAGCTCCACTGGTTGGATTATGTCTCTTATTCTGCTTTTTTCCTCTGTCAGCCATCTTTCTGTCTTGAGTCCCAACTGCAGGATTTTTTTCAAAGTACACCGGATGTTTTTTTTTTTTTCATAGCTAGCTGCAATACCCACCTCTTCTCTAGTGCTGTCCACTGTAGTATCCTACCTTTGCCACAAGATATCCTTGGCCGTTTGGTTGAATGATGCTCAGCACCCTACAACCCGGGAGACATATAGTATACTGTGAGCCCAGGGGGTCATGAACCCCCCAAAACCCCTGAAATGGGCTTCCCCATAGTGACCTGGACTCCGTACATTGAGTCAAAGCCTAGAGGTGTTTATTTGGAGTTACCTTTTAGAGTATTCTTCTTGGAGTTGAGCTTTAATGGTGTTGACCTGGTTACGTGTATTTGTGAATACACCCAAATTCTTGTAGGAGTATTTACATATATCCAGCTAGATCTGAGAGTTCCTACACAAAATATATACATTTATTGATAAAGGTACATAATATATACAAATTACATGCTAAGCAGTATTTACAACACAATGTACAGTTATTTACAATTTACCCACAAAACCATGTTTACAATACAATGTACAAGTATGAAGTTAGTTTTACCTCTCAACTTCAGGTTTAGTCATCCTGTCTGCTGTGTGTGTCTCATCACAAAGAGACCCCCCGCTGGGTGACCAGGTCTTATATCCCCCCTCCTGTCTGTACTGTGGCTAATATAATGCTCACTAATTGGACACTGTACCTAGCCAATGTATATTGGGCACAGCCTGATTGAAAGTTCAAAGAAGGCTGCTATTTACCACTCATGTGAGATATGCTAAGGGGACAACAAAAGGCCAGAACATGTATAGTGGAAAACTCTATAAATAGTTACACCAGTATGGAAGCTAGAAAGTTTTGATGCTGCAAAACACTCAGTTGTTTAAATACTGTGTATTTCCATCTAATTAAAATATACTTGTAATTATAACATTATTTACATCCATTAATAGAGATTTCACATAAACTCATTATCTAACAATGGTACTACACCCCATACCAACACTGTCCTAGTAATTTCATAAAAACTAGTTAACCTAAGTAGGAAGGTTTGAGTTTTTGTGTACTGGTATTCAGTAATGAATTTGTAACTTTTCTAAAATAATCATTTAATTGCAATAGTTTAATAGTATAACTGACTATAAACATAGAAAAGATCTCTATGTCATATAACATTAGCAGGCTGCTATGCCCCCTTTGACATTATTCTGGCCTTTATTAAGTTTTACTTTATATCTCACAAGACCTAAACCTTTTGTTTATTCATAAGCTTTGTATACCATTATGACTGCTTCAATTTCCATAAACTTAAATGGTTACAAAAAAAATAGTTTGTGTAAGACCCACTTTTGTGGTAGTCAGTGCTAGTGAATAGATGGGAACTATTCAAGGAGACATCACTGCTCTAGATCTCCTAAGGTCTACAAAGCTGGTGGAGGGAAAAAAACAAGATGGTATCCATGTTAGATGTGTAAAATGCAGGGCTTGTTTTTAGATACTGGTGCTGAGAGCTTTCTGTAAGGGAGGTTAGGATAAAATGCTGCTTACAAACCATTAGCTGGTTGGGTGCTTCCAATATTATGTGCTATACTTTGAATACATTTGATGTGCTTTATAATAGAAAACTAGATAACAATTGTTTTAAAGCTAAATGCTAGGCAAAACCACTAGCTCTACAGATGTAATGCATATAAGAGGGCCTGTTTAAGCATTAGAATACCACAGTACCATGCGATCCAGTGCAGTGCATTTTTTAAAAGTAGTGTATGTACTATTTTTGGTGCAATCTAGTGCAATGTCAACCCATTGCAGTGAATGGGCTGAAAATTGCATTGAGTAGCACAGGAATCACACAGGAATGCAGACTGTTCCTGTGGAATTCAAGTGTGAACTTACCTTTAAAGATCTTATCCCTCTCCCAATATGGATAGTCAAAGAAGTCGCAGACTGATGAGGTTTTCTGTCACTCTGCTCTCTCCTTCTGTCAGCATGTTAATTTTACATGCATTTTACATTGTAATTAATCTCATCTGACTGGCTCCCAGTCCTACCCTTCCTTCCTCCAGTGTAAGTGATGCTGTATAGGAGATAGCAAGATATTGACACCATGTCAAATTCAGGTACTAACATTGAGTAAATAATAATAATATTAAATACAGTGCTGTATTAAAGTACAGCTTTTAATACATTTTGTTTTGATTGTTGTATTGATTCAACTGCAAGCTTTAGGTAAATGAAGGAGTAGGAAAGACTTCAGGGCAACTGGCAATATAAGCAAGTGAGGTCAGAAGTCAACTAAATAACAAACATAATATACTATAGCTATTTTTTAAAGCCTATTTAAACCTAAAAACAAATATATAATATATTACATCTTACCAGTCTCTAATTATATTTTCATCTAGGGATTTTGACGGTAATACACTTCTAGTCACAGGATTACAATGCTCACTGTCTCTATTGTATCAGGATAATGGTATAGGACTACAAGACTCCAACCCTCTTTTCTAATTCAGTGTTTCTCAACCTTTTTACAGTCAACACACCCTTTAGAATTCTGCATATTCTCAAGGCACCCCATTCTAAAATGTAAAACGATAAACTAATAAATTTACAGAATGTATCGTCATCCACAATTATAGTGCACCCAACAATACACAGGAGATTTATTCTTACAAAGCAATTACACCTCACCCTCATTCAGCCAACGTGACCCCAGAGTTGATGGAGAGGAGCAAGGGAGGGGCAAGCAAGGATACTATGCAGGAACCCAGTGTCCTCCTTTTTAACCTATAACCTCATCAGTTGTTGGGATGCCAGCAGCTGACCAGCATGGTGCCCAAGGGTGCAATGTTATACAATAAAAACCTGTGGCGTTGTGTATAAAAAAAGGCAGGTTTGATCCATTTGTCAGCTTGTTGACATTTTTTGGGAAATTTTAGGCATTTTGATAAGGCACCGCTGAAGAATTCAGTAAGCACGACATCCTAGTTGAAAAAAAAAAAATTTTGTCAAGTAGATATAACACTTTTTAATGGTACACTTAAAATTACTAAACTAAAGGCAAAACTTTTTTTTTTTGTAGTTTTGGATAGCGTGGACATGGATTAAACCACCTGTTATGTTTTTATTGTTACTTCTGCCCCCATTAGGGAGATTCACCCTGTCTATTTGTCCTGTTTAGTATTATCATCAAAAGTGAAAATTAAATAAATCCCCGAATTTTGGGTTGTCACCAGAACAGTAATCGAGGGGTAATTCTTCCAATGAGGATACTAGTTCTGGGTACAACAATGGATTCCCTTTAAATTTCAAGGACTTTTTCCTGTTTTGGCTATGGCACAGAAAGATGAAGTAAATCTCCCCAATTGGATACAGATGGTAAAAAAAAAAAAACCTGACAAGAGTTATAACCATCCTTTACTCCATCCAAAATGAAGAAAAAAGTGTTGCCTACAGTTTTATTTTAACAAACTAAAAAGGAAGTTCATTGTTAGGATTTATATACCATTTAATGTATATCTAATGAAAAATGACCAACTTTTCTATCTTTACTCTCAGTCTTCAGTTTCTTGCATTTGACACTGAGGCATCCCATGACATCCTGAGAGTTTGGGATGGACCGCTGGAAAATGAGATGTTACTGAAGGAAATCAGCGGCTCTCTTATCCCAGAAGGAATTCACAGTACTCTCAATGTTGTAACGATACAATTCGACACAGATTTTTATATCAGCAAATCTGGATTTGCTATTCAGTTTTCAAGTAAGTTATTCCTTTCACAACTTCTAAGTCAGTCTGTATTTTATTTACTATCTTGAACTGTACTATCTTTGTTCTGTACAAGTAAAGGAAATAGTTTATAAAGATAATACAGTTAAAATACAACACATTAATCATTTATTTTTTTTCCTTTCTTGTAAACTTTTGAACTCTGTCAAGTTCGGAGGGACTTTTGATTTATATCTGTTGTGATTTTATTTTTTAAAGAATGTCATATAGCATTTTCATCTATGTAATAATACCCGAGAAAAAAAGGGCAAAGTCTTATAAAATTTAGAGAAAAAAATGTGTTTTACCCTGTTGACCTTAGAGTTAGTCATTTGCCTTTCTTGTTTCTTCATTCCACTTTTAGACATGTCTACATGGTGCAACCATTATTTAGACACGTAACGATATTAATTAGAATGTTCACAGCCTATTTACTGGCACAGGACATGCTTATTTCTGAGACACTTAAAAGGCATTAGTGTTAATTTACTAAAGGAGTAAAACGTGTTTCCTTAGGAAACTGAATGTCTAATAAAGCCTGTCATTAAAAAAATATATTTAGCATATATACTATACAAGTCATATTGTAATTTAATGCTATTAAAAATTACCTCTCCTTTTCAATCTGCATCCACTGTAATGTTCTGTAATATTCAATGCAATATAGCAACCTGGAGAAGTTCTGTACACTGTAGGTGTACAGAACACCCCCAGAAAGGTCATTTCCTGCTTGCGTGATTGAACTGCTCATTTTTCTAGAAGGCTGCATTGAGAAACAAGTCAAATTCTAGGCATTCCCTTCAACAAAAATATTACTCCATAAGGGCTAAATCATTCTAAAGGAGTTCAAGAACACGAGTGTACCAGCTGATTATATTGAATAAGACTCTCTCATTCAGAATCAGCATGCAAAGGATATAGTGAAACAAATAGCTTTTTCTTCAAAGCAGAAAAAGGTAGGAATCTGCTACAAATTTTGGTAAAAATGTACATTGATCACCTAGAGGGGATTGTTTTTTCTCAACAAAAGTGGAGTTACTTTTTAAGTTTTGCAATTAAGAAACAACTGTGATCACTTCAATAAAGCAATCATGCAGCATGCTATCAAAAAAAATATATTTTTTAAATGTCCTTTATAACTGAGGGGCAACTGATGGGCAGTGCCATCCTGTTCTTTTGGCCTCCACATGTGTACTATCTCCTGTCATACCCTAAGATTATAGGCTACAGAAGGGAATTCAAACCATGCATATGTGGCCAAAATGAACAGAATGGCGTTCCCTCCCATGGCGCTAGGGGGGCATTGGTACCAACAGCTGCTCCATCTCTACATCACTGGCTGCAGGGGATTTTAAGAAGGAAGGTTTTTTATGTGGATTTGGACTACAGCCTTAAAAGGGAATCTTGGCTTTCTAGTTAGGTTTAGTACACTATGCTGCTATACCCAAATAGGACAGCATATTTATGTAAAGCAAAACTTACACTTTAGGATTCACCTTGATCAGCTGTTTGACTTCCCACAAACTGAACAAATAGTTTATATGATTTAACTCAGAATTATTGTATATGTTGATTCACAAAAATGATAATATTAGGCTATACAATCCTAGTTTCAAAATGATGCTGTGACATACCGGTGAATAGAAGGATAATTATCACTGTGATGTGAAGATTGAATTGAAATTAATTTCTCTAAATGTATATCTTGTTAATTTCATGTAAAGTTAAGGAGTGAATATATGTTTTCTTTATTAGCTGTAGTAATTTAAGATGTCATAAGATCACTTGACTTTTGCAGAAAAAAAACAATTAAGTGTTATGTGCTGAAATTGTTAGATTCTTAACACCCCCAGGGAAAGTGTTAATGTATAGGTAAGTGGTTTTTTTTTTTAATTCCTAAAAATAATATTTATTTTTAGTAATATAGTTTAGAGATTAAAAAAACCCACTATAAAAAGTTTTTTTCCAGGAGTATCTCAATTAAATATAAAAATTGGGTGTTTATCTCCTTAACAAACTATGATGGTGATGGTTAAAAAAACTAAATATAAGTCATTGTATTCATGTATAAGAAATTCCCTTAACTTATTCAGTAATGTGCTAATGTTTTCTAATTAAAATTCCTTCTTTACTCAATGTCCTCTTGCTTTTTTGCTCCTCCCATCATTTAATGCTGGCCATAAGCTCATATACTGTAGTTTTTTTTTCCATTCAATCTGCAAACAGAATGGAAAAAATCTAACAAATTCCTCTATCCACACTTCACAGTATAGAATCTCCCCCTGTGTCTTTTGTATTTTCAAAGCCGGCCTTGCCAGATATCAAAATACCTGAACAATGCCTGCATCTGATTGGATGGTGGTGCTGTTCAGCTGACAATTTTACATCCAGCTTCTTCAATTTTTCTATCAAGGGATGTCTGGCAGGAGGAGTCTGACAGGGCCACCCACTAAGTAAATTTTGGCCAGTTAATCAATTACCGGCTGAAATTTGCTCTGTGTTTAACCATCTTAAGCCCAATTTGTGACTGTGTCAGTTGTTGAGAGATGGGAATGCTCAGTTACCACCACCCCCAGTGTAGTGAGCGCATTTGTATTGTAAGAGAGAAATTATAAGTATTCATCAAGAAAGCTCAAGATAGTTCAGCTTTCTTTATGAAGGAAGTTCAATTACTTGCACCACAGTACCAGGGCCAACAAAAAAAAAAAAAAGAAAAAAAGCGCACCTTGGTGCGCTCACAGTAGAGCTATTAGTACTGATACAAGGAGAGGGAAAGTTGCCAGAATAAGGTTCCTGTTCCTGTTCCAAGTGAATGAAAAACACAGAATGGCAGTCCAGAGAACAAGAGTCCCATTCTGAATTACATTGTAAAGCATTCTTTATTACTTTCATATATTGTAAATTTACTATGTAAGTCAGAATGAAGTATTTATTAAATTTCTATGTCACAAAAAAATTTAAATGCAATAATGCTATTTTTTGCTTCCCAAATTGATACACATGGCTGCCCCACTCACACAATCAGGAAACACCTAAAGTTCATGTATTTCAACAATCCAGATGGATGGGTGCTTTAAGAGGATCCTATTAAAAAAAAAATAAAAAAATATATATATATATATATATATATATATATATATATATATATATACATACACACAAACTGCTTAAAAAAATTAAAGGGACACTTTGAAAATACATCAGATCTCAATGGGGAAAAGTATCATGCTGGATATCTATACTGATATAGACTGGGTAATGTGTTAGGAACGTAAGGATGTCCCATCATTTGATGGAAATGACAATTATCAACCTACACAGGACTGAATTCAAAGACACCCTGAAAATCAAAGTGAAAAAATGATGCAGCAGGCTAGTCAATTTTGCTGAAATTTCAGCAACTCAAAATGGTACTCAGTAGTTTGTATGGCCCCCACGTGCTTGTATGCATGCCTGACAATGTTGGGACAAGCCCCTAATGAGACGATGGATGGTGTCCTAGGGTATTTCCTCTCAGATCTGGACCAGGGCATCACTAAGCTCCTGGACAGTCTGAGGTGCAACTTGGCGGCGTTGGATGGTCAGGCGACCGTGGGGGCTACTCTGTGGTATCAATTTCTTCATCTTTAAGAAACTGCCTGCGTACTCTCATCACATGAGGCTGGGCATTGTCATGCACCAAGAGAAACCCAGGACCCACTGCACCAGCGTAGAGTCCCGATACTTAATAACAGTCAGGGTGTCATTGTCTAGCTTGTAGAGGTCTGTGCATCCCTCCATGTATATGCCTCCCCAGACTATCACTGACCCACCACCAAAAATGGTCATGCTGAACGATATTACAGGCAGCATAACATTCTCCACAACGTCTCCAGACCCTTTCATGTCTGTCACGTGCTCAGGGTGAACCTGCTCTCATCTATAAAAATCACAGGGCACCAGTGGCAGACTTGTCAATTCTGGTGTTAAATGGCAAATGTCAATCAAGCTCTGTGGTGCCAGGCAGCGAGCACAGGGCCCACTAGAAGACATTTGGCCCTCATGCCACCCTCATGAAGTCTGTTTCTGATTGTTTGGCCAGAGACATTCACACCAGTGGCTTGCTGGAGGTCATTTTTTAGGGCTCTGGCGGTGCTCATCCTGTTCCTCCTTGCACAAAGAAGCAGATACTGCTCCTGCTGATGGGTTAAGGATCTTCTACGGCCCTATCCAGCTCTCCTAGAGCAACTGCCTGTCTACTGGAATCTCCTCCATGCTCTTGAGACTGTGCTGGGAGGCACAGAAAACCTTTTGGCATTGGCATGTATTGATGTGTCATCCTGGAGTAGTTGAGCTGCCTGCGCAACCTCTGTAGGGTCCAGGTATCGCCTCATGCTACAAGTAGTGACACTGATACTAGCCAAATGCAAAACTAGTGAAAAGTAGTCAGAAAAGATGAGTAGGGAAAAAAAATGTCAGTGACCTCCACCTGTAAATCAATTCCTGTTTTGGGGGTTGTCTCATTGTTGCCCATCTAGTGCACCTGTTGTTAATTTCATTAACACCAAAGCATCTTAAATTGATTAACAACCCCCTCTGCTACTTGACTGACCAGATCAATATCCCAGGAGTTTAATTGACTTGATGCTATGCTCTGATTAAAATATGTTCCATTATTTTTTTTGAGCAGTGTACTATATATTAAACCTGTGTTCCTATAATTCGTACATGCAGTATTAGTTCATGGCCATTGAAAGATTTTAGAATTACAGTTGAAGCCGATACCATCCATGCTCCAAATATATAAAGAAACATATCCAAAAGCAAATAAGGCCTAGCAGTAAAGCTAACCTTTCAACCAAAATGAAAATATTTTGGAAATGATTGGTACAGGAGGTGGTACAGCATACAAAGACTGGCAAAACGCTGCAGTCCTACTCAGGTGCCATGTCTCAGATGGCAGAAAGGATTTATGGCCAATGATTCATACCCTGTATCAAGATGAAATAAGTAAATTCTATACACTTGGCAAGGTGGCAATGTTTTATTTCCAGGAGATTAGATTTGCTTTTTAAAGAGTATGGTTATTGTAAGTGGTCCTGTGCAATTCCTTAAAATGTAAATATTTGTATATTATCCAGATAATTTTAAATCTTGTCTTTAGGCTCTGTGGCTACAGCCTGTAGAGACCCAGGGGTCCCAATGAATGGCACTCGCAATGGAGACGGAAGAGAACCAGGCGATACTGTTATTTTCCAATGTGACCCCGGCTATGAATTACAAGGAGAGGAAAGAATAACTTGTATTCAAGTAGACAACAGATTCTTTTGGCAGCCAAGTCCTCCATCGTGCATAGGTAAATTGTAATCTCCTTTTTTAAGGCCCATATGCTGTACATGCTTGAAGCGACTTGAAATTACATGGAAACAGCATCAACCCTTCTTGATGTGTAGTATATTGAATATGAATGGGTATTATATTATTATTATTATTCAACATACAAATAAAGTTTTAAGGGACATATCTATAAAGCAGTGAATCTGATATTCACAAAACATTTACTGCAGGCGAATATTCCAGGTACATACATTTTTATTGACTGTGATTCCCCACCAGTGAATGTTTGGAGAAAGTAATGTATACCAGTTTTTAAATAATACCCTAATTAAATATACATTTCTCCTTAAAATTTTGATATATAAAAATCAAATAAGCATACATATATGTAGTCATTGTACTTATTTAGAGGAATATATAGATAAAGAGAAATACTGCATATATAAAATTGATTTGACTTTATATATGCTCCTTTTTCTCTTTCTCTATATGTTCCTCTAAATAGTCTTATGGCCACATATGTATATGTTTATATACTGAATTTTGAGAAGAGGACATAAAGCACACAGTATTTTGGTTTATTTATTGATATATTAAAATAATTTTTTCCAATAATTTCTTTGAAGGGCACCAATGAGTTAGGACAGATTATTAAGATTTATAAAAGTATGCAAGCAAAATAAAAACGCTACAGAACATATATAAATGCACAACAACAAAGAAATGTATATAAAGTTTATTAATCCTTAAATATAACAGGCATGCAATTCATGTTGCAAGTGTATATGGCATGTCTGTTACATGTAGAGAGGAATAAACTTTATATACTCTGACGATTACTAAACATTTGTCTTGTGGTGGTGCCTTTTTACAGTATATGTCTTGAAGCATTTTTTTGGTTATATGATTGACTTGTGAACAGGGTGGGCAAGCCTTTAGTACATGAGTGGGTGATGTGCCAGTGATACAAGATTTATGTATTCCATTCAATACCTTTGCTGTGAATTCCACGCTACTCCTAGCAGATGTATAGTACTGTTAACAGAAATATTGAAGCATTTTGATGATTGTTATGCTTATAAACAAGTTACAGAAACTTCAAATATGTGTGTAAAGTTATTTTATATAACCTCTGTCTAACAGAATCTATTTTCTCAATTAGATGTGCTTCCAGCTGAGTTCAGCTCTATGCAAATACGCATAAGACTTTAAAGTGTTATATTTTATCATAATATATTTTGGCTAACCTTTAATTATATTCAGCTCCTACCCGACAGATATTTGCTTGTTCTTTACATTTTACAGAAATTCATTTAAATATTTTCTGAATACATCTAACAATTTTTTTCTTTTTTCAGCTCCATGCGGTGGCAATCTAACAGGGTCTGCTGGCTTTATTCTGTCTCCAAATTTTCCTCACCCGTATCCACACAGCAGGGACTGCGACTGGACAATTACTGTCAATCCAGACTATGTAATTTCATTGGCTTTCATTAGGTAGGTCTTCTAAAAAAATAAATTGAGCAGTTTGGAATATATCTTTGTGTGTTTATCAGGGTCTGGTTTCATGTGTAACCCATAATCTCTGGCTACTTCTGTGGTTCGATTCAACACAATTTGGTAGCCATGGGACTGATTTACTTTCAGACTGGACGATAAAGTGCCACTGACAACCCAATGATGAATGTGAATGTTTTCAAAGTTCCCTGTGCAGAGATATTGCCCACAAAATGTTTGTAAATGTCAAAAGTACATGTGGAACTTTGGAAAAAGTTTATAGTGCAGTTAAAGTTATTTCATTTTTTTTACACTTTCGTGTATACATGTGTATGGAGTTTTTTAATATGGTGAACACATATAACATATACATATATATATATATATATATATATATATAAATATATATATATATATATATATATAATCTGGGGATAGCTCAGGTGGGAGATCACCTTCCCTGGGAAAAAGGTAGTCCACACAGCAGGGCTTTCTTAAAATCTGACTTGACGTCAGTTTTATTTACAAGGTTGCCAGCATCAAAACAAACAAAACAGAAAATAAATCCTCGCTGTCCAGGCACTAACTAAACACCACAGATTCCTCTCTCAAAGGTGAAGAGCTTCTCCCTGTTACCAACAAAAATGAAACCAGTAAGCAAACCTTTTCTTTGCTTGTAAACCACAAACTTTCATCCACAGCTTACTCAGATATGAGTCTCTGAGTCCCAGGCCAAGCGCAATGTCTTGCTCCAGCCCTGCCTTATTTATACCACCTGCTGGTGGTCTTCAGTGGACCACAAAATCCGGTCCGGAACCATCTCTGCCAGAGTGACCCAGAAAACCCGGAGCGGACTCCACCTTAATCTCCCAGATATGATCTCATGCGAGGTGACACACAGCGTCCATCGATTACCTCACCTCTCATACTGTCATATATATATATATATATATATATATATATATATATACACGGGGCGGACTGACCATTTGAGCACTGCCCAAGGGCCTGGGGTCAGTAGGGGGCCCCATGAGATGCCGCTGGTACCTTTCATTGACTTTTTCATAGGCTTTTTTGGGTATGGATGAGGACACAGGGGCCCCATGACCTCCTATTGCCCGGGGGCCCCATGAGTTGTCAGTCTACCCCTGTATATATATATATATATATTTATTTTTTTTTTTTTTAGCAATATTTCACTCTTCAGTTATTGGTCTGAGGCTCACTCATATGTTTCCTCTGTGCCATTTTAGTTTATGATAGCTTAGGTAAAATATGTGAGCACTGGGGTTCAGTCGGGCCATAAATTGTCTTAATAAATACTACATTTTTGTGTTAATAAGTCAATATGAAAGACACAAGAAATGCTTAAAGCCTATCTCTAGTAGGGATAAGTTAAAAGTTCTGTGCTTGGACCAAACTTTGGCTTTTCAAGCACTGTACTTTTAACTTGTTCAACAGAAGGTGAACATCATGTATAGTAGCAGTAAAAATACTGCTACTATATGTGACAGCTTTCTTGCTGAAAATGGCAGGTACCAGCACCCACCGTGTCCTTTGTACCCAGTATCATCCTCCATACCCAGGGGCGGACTGACCATTTGGAAACTCGGGCACTGCCCGAGGGCCTGGGGTCAGTAGGGGGCCCATGAGATGCCCCTGGTACCTTTTTTATAGGCTTTTTTTAGTTTGGGCAAGGACACAGGGGCTTCATGATCCCCTATTGCCCGGGGGTCCATGAGTTGTCAGTCCACCCCTCTCCAGACCCATTAATTTACTGACTAGAAATCAGCACTTTTTCTGAATGAATATGGGCACATAGTACCCCTTACTCATTCACAAGTGGAGCAGTGTCTGAGGGCCCCCTTATAGTTTGATAATGAGGTTATGTGCATATGTGAATGCACAATAATCACCACAGAAGTGTTTACATATACTCAGCTAGATCTGAGAGTTCTTACACAAAAAAGGTAGTTCCATCTGCAATATACATTTATTAATGCAGTTACATAATATAAACAAATTACACACTAAACAGTATTTACAACACAATGTACAGTATAAGTCCCTTGACTTATATGATATTTACAAATTACCCACAAAACCATATTTACAATACAATGTACAATACAAGTATGAGGTTAGTTTACCTCTCAATTTCAGGTCTGGTCATGCTGAATGCTGTATGTCCCAACACAAAAAGGCCCACAGTTTTGTGACCAAGCATTATATTCCCTCCTCCGTTCTGTACTATTACTAATATAATGCTCCCTATTGGTTACTGTGCAAATGTAATAGCCTGTGGAGCAAAGTAGGCTGCTGTTTAATGGGACACCCAGCCTGATTGCGGTCATACCAGTAGGAATAGTTTGATGCAGCAAAACACTCAAGGAATGAAAACACTGCTAAAATATATTGCTAATTAAAATATTATTTGATTTCAGATACAATCTTTGTGTGGATGTGAAAAAGCCCCCCACTCACAGACCACAAAAAAAAAGGGACAAGATTCTTAAGCCCCCCAACCTGCCATTATTGCAATGCGCAAAACTATTTACAGTCCGGCCCGCGGAGCTATAGGCCAGTGGTATGGCTCTTTACAAATTTAGAAGATTCTCGGATGGCCGACCCCCTCCCTCCTCTCAGACTCTGCAAAACACTCAAGGAATGAAAACGGGAATACGAGAGGTATAGTTGACACAGGGGGGGGACTTATAACTGAAATATATTTCTAATTAAAATATATATTTAGAGATTTCAGATAAACGCATTATCTAACATTGTTATATGGGGGAGTTACAGATCCTGAAAAGCCCCCCACTCACAGACCACAAAAAAAAAGCAAAGATTTATTTATTTAATGACTTACTATAGGGGAGGCCCCATGCTTTATTATAGGGGGACTTATTATTCTATAGGTGGGAGACCCCCATGAATTACAGTGAATTTTTTTTACAAATTACTGTATGGGGGATGAATTACTCTGGGATGAATTACTGGGGGCCATATGGGGGAACATCTAGCCTCATATGGGGCCCTAATCTAGGATAATGGGGGTACTGGTTTAAATACTATATGGGGGATGAATTTATATGGGGGACCATTTGTATACAATGGGGATGAAAGCTAAGCATGAATTACTATATGGGGGGAATTATTTGCCATGGGGATTAATTACTATATGGGGGATTAATTAGTTTAAAGTGCTATAATTGAATTCCTTTCTTACTGTAAATGTCAGTTTATCTGCTTGTAGTCCGGCCCCCGGTTGAATTATACATAACCCATTGCGGCCCTCAAAAAAGAGTTTGCCCACCCATGAAGGCGCTCATACCCTAATCTAGGATAGGGTCAGACCATTTACTATATATTAACTGAATTTTTTAAAAGTAAATGTCAGTTTTGCTGTAGTAATGGAGAAAAGGCGCCCTCTAAGTTCAGTATTACAATTTTTTTATAATTTTCACTTACAGATTAAAGTTTAAGACTCATCATGTGGTGATTAGATCCAGGTGGGACATCCAGCCGTCCAGCAGCAAACTATGCCTATAGGATCAGGAAGTAGAGTCCAGGATGTGCCTGTGCATCAAAAATGATGCTTGGAGAGAGCAGACCATTGTTTACTTAGAGGCGCCTTCCTCTCTTTTTCTTGTTACTGCATTAGAGCCTTGCTTCAACGCTAAGAAGATCTGCCTCAGTGTTACTGCTCCCATCCATCCATCCCTGATCTCCATCTGGCACCTTTATCTTACAGCTACAGAGGTTGGGCTCCAACAAGCGCGCCCTATATAATATACATTTTTGTATACATTGTACAGATTCTCCACTTCACTCTTGTTATTTAGAAAGAAAAACTTCTAAGACCCTTATTTACTTACTTAAATTTGCTGTCATTTGATGATCCATGGCATCTCTTTTGGTAATTAAGAGCATCAATTGTAAGCAGTGCTCAGGCCAACAGACTGGTCCTGTTGCTGCCACTCATGGTTTGATATCTTGGAACCATGGCTGGAAGACAAGGGGACCTTGTGAGAACACTGTGATGGTCACTTTTGGCAGCCAGTGTCATGATCAGTGTCTATGTCACCAGCAAACAATGTGAGCACTGCAAGAGTTTTCCACACTGTAAACCAGAAGAAGAATTGGGACCTAGGCTGTCACTTTGTCAGATAGGTAATTGGGACTTTTAGTAAGATTTTGTTTTTCAAAATCAGAACTAGTGATTAGGTAGCGGCTTCAACCTACATATGCAATGAGATTCAGACACCACAACTACATCTATATATAAGGTTTGTGCTTGTTATTTTTAAATTCAGTGTTCTATTATAGTTGGATAAGCATGAAAGGTTTTTTTGTCAAAACTTTTCAGTCTTATTGTTTTTCTTTTGTTTTTTACTTATATTTGAAAAACTTGAAATGTTTACAAACAGCAATATATTCAGACTTGATATTAAATTTTATCACTAAATATACATTTTCAGATAATGTTTTTAAACATATTACTAGAATAAATTATTATTAATTTGAATAGGCTGCTAATGCATGACAACATACCAGAAAATGCACCTCCACAGGTATCAGAGGCACTGTCCTTTAGTGCATTGGAGTGCCAGTTAAAATGAATGACACTGTTATGCATTAATCTGTGTATGATGCATTAACACACACTGCAGTAATTGCGGCACAGGCTTCTGTTGAATGAGGAGCTGTACATATGGGCTGAAAGTTGGCCGATTCCTGCCAAACCAACTGTTTTCACCCAATTTTTGGCCTGCGTGTACCCAGCTTTAATGAGGATAGATTCCTTTGTCTAAGAAAGCATACCTTTTTTTACTACTCTTCTCTATTATTGTAAACGTTTCCTTGCTTTCAAGATCACTGGAAGACTACTAAACATTTTTTCCATCTGTTATTACTTGGTATATACAGTAGGTGAACTGTGCAACCTCCCGATAAAACTACATCTGAACACAACAAACTGAAAACACTATTCAATTCAATTTCCATATTCAAAGAAAACTCACCCATCCATCCTTATCCCCATGCTTTATTTTGTTGAGAAATCACTTTGTCCATTCTTGCAATGTGTTTGAGATTTAGCTGATAAGATTATATAAATTCATGTGACTATCCAAAAAATATTTTTATTTATGGGTAATGATGTCTTAAAAGAAACTAGAGTGTCTTGTAAGGACTTGATGAAAAGGTTTAAGACTGGTGTGCTTTGAGGAATACATGACACTCACATTACTAGGGAAAATGGAGGGTTTTTTAGCTAAATTATTTTGGCACAAAATTGCTGATTTTTCAGTTGTTAAAATGCTGTCAAGGAGCCAGCATGTTTTAATTTAACTCCCTTAGCAAAATGATCTGCTTCTTTCTATTCTTCATTTGGAAGTTTTTTTGGGGGGTGGATTTAGGTTAGTTTAGATTATTATAGTATGTTTGCATTTGTGTGTTTTCCTTTTGTTTCTGTTTTTTTGATAATGGTTTGTGCACCATCACTTTACATTTTTAATATTTTTTTCCTCTAAAAGAAAACATAAAACAATGGAGATGCCTATTTTAGAAAAATACATTTTGATGATAGTTGAAAAGATATTCCCTACCTTTTTCTAGTCAATTAAAACCCATTGGTGTTTATTTGTTAAAGCTGGAGTGTGAAAAATCAGGCTCATTCTGCATAGAAACCAATCAGCTTCTAACCTCAGGTTGTTCAATTAAGCTTTGGCAATAAAACCTGGAGGCTAATTGGTTTCTATGAAGAAGTGAATCTGATTTTTCACTCTCCAGCTTTAGTAAACAAACCCCATTGTGTGCTTAACACCACCAAAAACCATCTTAAAGGATACGTTCACCTTAAAAAAAAATAAAAAATAATAATAAATTAAAATTATTGTTTGCAGGTAAAAAAATGTGCATTTATTATTTTTTTGGTCAGGCTCTTGCAGACTGTCAGTACACTATCTTGATGGCTATGAATAAGGTTTTTTACCAAAACACATAAGCTTCTGTAACTTGCACACTGTTCCCTTTATGAATACAGTACTTTTGGAACACGTTGCCATCTTTTCATCCTATACTCCTATACTGTCTGCCCATACCTTACATAGGGGCAGGCAGTTTCTGCAGTCCAGGAACCTCAATGGACTATGAGAGTGCTCACCAGCACCCTTACAGTACATTGAAAACTATATGATGCTGGCAGTACTTGTAGTCCTTAATTCACAGGAAATTGTAAATTAATGAGTCAGATGTGTGGGTGGAGCCCTGCACTGCTGTGTTATTTTCAAATAGTGACAGAGAGCATGGGCAGAATATCCCGTTTGCTGTCACAGGTAGGGGGACAGAAGAGGGAGAGCTGCAGATGCTGGAGCATGTTACATGTTCCACTCTAAAAATGGGTGGAACATATAAAGCTGAATTTAGCAAATCAAAACCTCTACTGGCATGGAAAATGACTTTAATGTCTCTCCCCCCAATGGCTACAAGCCATACACTTTTCATGCTTTATTTCTCATTGTTTAAATAATTAGGAGCTTGTTCTGAAGCTACTTACACACTGTTAGCTCACCCCACATAGATTATATGTTTTACCCTAATAGCTCATCTTTATGTTGGAGAGGTTGTGGCTGCACAGGCAATCTTAAACCTATATTCTGTTCATTTAAAAATGTTTGCAGCTTGTGGAGGAAAATAATGCAAATTGTGTCTGATGTAACGGGCATTGTGACCCCCTCCCCCCAATCCTGCCTTAGCCATCCTAAATTTAGGTATTGAGTCCTTCCCTCCCTGTTATCGTAGTATTGTAGCCAATATTTTACTGTCTGCAAAACTGACAATTACAAGACAGTGGAAGAAAGACTCTGCCCCCAATCCATCTAAAGCTGTGAATATTACACATCAACACTATGTTTATGAAAGAATGTCATCTCTGAAATCTGCTACTCTTTGTAGATTTGAAAAACTGTGGAAACCTTGGGCAATGTGGTATGCTATAATAAAAAAAAACCTTTTTGTGATAAACCAAAAATAAATATAAAATAAAATAAAATAACCATAAAGTGTCCAATTCCAATAAAGTCACAAATGTGTCCAAATAAAGTCCAAAATTCCAAACTTTCATCCAATAAGAAGGATTGGCTCCTATTCGTCCAGTGAAAACCTCAAAAATAAGAAATATATATACTCTAGTGCATTACCTTTTATATACAAAAAAAACAATTTGTGCAACTCACAAACCACTCCAAAAAAAATTAAATGTGCAAACAAAACACAAAAAAAAAAAAAAAAAAAAAACTATATATATAAATGCACTAAAACCCAAACTGTGAACACTCTGTGATCACTGCAAAATTGTGTACACTCCGTGAGCCGACACCCTATAGTGCTAAATACTATTACCCTCTGTGAGTTTTCATACGCATATAAATACTATGGAACCAGAATCTTCCATCCTCTCTTCAAGGATAATTCATCCAAGGTCCTCACAAAGACAAGAAGACGCTTAAAAACGGATCTCAAAGCATAGGGAAAATTTAATAGTAACTTACATATACAATAAAAGACTTCCAGCTCTGACAATAGCTCTTGTAACAAACACTGGCAAAAACCATGTGTAGGTAACCAACAAAATGGCCGTGGTGACACTTCCGGTTAGCGTGCGTGCGTCTTGATGTCACTTCCACTAACGCCTAACGTCTGAAGGCCATTTTGTTGGTTACCTACACATGGTTTTTGCCAGTGTTTGTTACAAGAGCCATTGTCAGAGCTGGAAGTCTTTTATTGTATATATAAGTTACTATTAAATTTTCCCTATGCTTTGAGATCCGTTTTTAAGCGTCTTCTTGTCTTTGTGAGGACCTTGGATGGAGATGGTTTCAGAATTATTAATATATTCTGAACCATATCCTTTTCTGTTGGTAACTCATAGATATAAATGTGCCTTATTTTCTGTTTCTTGTTACATGTACTTTAAATTGAATGATATAAATGCAGCCTTTACTTACTACATGGACATATATATCCAATAGTTATATATATTCATGGCTTGCAGCGGCTGCGTCCGCTATGCATTTGTTTGTTTTTTGTATTCCCTTTTCTTTGCTATACTTTCAAAACCCAATAAAAACACTGAAACCAAAAAAAATGGGTGGAACATGTAACATGTTCCAAAAGGTGAACTTATCCTTTAATTTCACCTTCCCCATTGACTGTAATGCATTTTGCCAAAATAATGAAAATTTGCCAAAATCTCACTATTTTCGCTGAAATTTCAAGGAAATTGAAACTCACTTTTGCTCATTCCTAAACTCTCAGTTTTGCTCATTCCAGATTTACTATTACTGGTGCACTCAGAATCTGTTGGAACTGTGCATGGCAGCCAATCAACTTCTAACCTCAGCTTGTTCAATTAAAGCTTTGGCAATAAAACATGGAAGGTGGTTGGTTTCTATATGCAGTGAGAGAGTGAGGGCATGTGGCCTGGTATGGTTCAGGAGGGGAGCCGCTCTCTCATCCCCTCCCCTCCCCTGACCTGCCAGGCTGCATGCTCAGATAACAGTCTGGTATGCATTACCTAACTAAGGTAATATAAGCACTTGAAACTTGAAAATAACCAAGAACAAGTGAATGAAAATATCCAAAAAGAATAGATGCCCTGCTAAGCAATACCAAATATAAACAAATCAATATGTACAACTTCAACATATGTGCAAAATAGATAATCTGAGTATATCAAGGCTTAAATTTAAAAAAAAAAAAAAATATATATATATATATATATATATATATATATATATATATATGAAACAAAGCACACAACATAAAAATTAAATAAACACCCGGCTGAATCCTCAACCGAGTGACAGTAAATGTAGTAAAAATCAAGTAATGCAGAAAGATATTCAAATCAGCATATATTCCACAGGTGACTTGAAAAGTGATCACCCTTAGAAATCCTCAACCAGCTACAACACATGCTCACCTCCCATTTTAACCTACAGGGAATATAGGTCAGGTGCGCTTTAATATAAACCCCAAATCACACCAGCTCTCCTCTGTAAGAGTACTTTACTGGCTCCTTCTCCAATTTCTCCTCAGAAATCCATTTTCAAAAAAACTTCAAAGGACATCTCATAGTGTAATACGTTCATGTTTAATGTATAAAAACCAGGTATAGAATTCTCAACTTTTAAAATCAGGCCAGCAGACCCATACAAGCATTGGTAATAAAATGTACAGGAACAGGTGTACCAAGATGGCAGTCGCAGTCCGACCAGAAATGATGTCACCACACTTCCTTCCTCAGGGAAAAGGGATTCTTTATTTATTAATAAATTATATAATTTCCTAATATTTGTAAAAAAAATATATATATATAGCGCAAAGTGGAAAGATGTCTTTGAATCAACCATACTAACTTAAAGTGAGGTATAAAGTGATTATCTCAATTGCAGAACCTTAGCAAAATTATTGCACTAAGTTTAAAATAAACTGGTTATTGTATACTTATCAGAAAGTGCTCTTCAGGTTATCCGTTTAGGGTAAAACTTCACATTGGCAATAAAATGAGCAGCACAGTTTATGGCTACTAACAATAGAGTTGGATGACTTTAGTTAATATGTTATATGTTATAGCTATAATAGTGTAATCGGTCTTAAAAAGGAGAATTAATAGGCTTGGACATTGAAAAACATGTCTATTGGTTATGCATATTATGTTCAGGGATGTATTCCCACTGTAGGTTTTGTATATTTACAGTTTTCCCGAGTGAATATGTAATAGATTGCTAATTGCTTCTATACTTCGTATGAGTTTGTTATCCTTAATCACCATATTGCTGACTGATGATGGACAGGAGAGAAAAGAAATCCAATTAATAGGTTACATCTGTTTATCAGAAAGTAATTAGATATTATAGTGTGGAGATGTCCATGTTATGGTTAAGGTGTCCTATTAATTTGTCTGTTAAAAGTAATCTTACTTGCTGGATTACATTTTATAATATTGTTCCTAGAGCAAAGGACAAAGGGGTCCCTCATCGGATGCTAAAAAAAATTCACTTTACTGTAGCAAGACTTTTAATCCCATAGAAAAAATATAAATTACTAGTAATAATGGGTATTTGACTGAACCCTGACAACTACAGTATATCTTCGAACAGAAGCATGTGGGGGTGGGTGTAGTTCAAAAGTAGATTCAAACCCTGATAACAAACTACTTTTGTAAGCCCCCTTTTGGCCTGTTAACCACTTCCCCTTGGATGGACATCATATGATGTCCTGTGGTTTAAGTGGATGTACCGAGATGATGCCTGATGAAAAATTTTCAGTCAGGGATGCTCTTTCATGTAGAAGTGATGAGGTGGCTAGACAGACACTCCATCATTTCTACATACTTCTACTCTTCTACATTTTGTGTCTGATCTGCTGCATTAGAGGCCAGAGGATAGACTTTTGACCTAATAGACCCCATAACTCTTCATAAAGAGGACATGTCATGGCCCATGCTATCACATGTTGTTCATCTCTTCTGATAGCAATAAAGTTGATAAAAATATAAAGAGACATATGAAGAAAAAAAGTTTTAAACAAAATAAATAATAAAACACAATTTAAAGCACCTCCCCATTCCCCCCAAGCTCACACACAAATGTGAATGCATACGTAAGTCCTGCACACATATGTAAATGGTGATTGCACCACACGTGAGTGGGAGCAATAATTCTAGAACCTGACTTCTACCTAACTCTAAAGTGGTAACCCGTCAAGGCTTTTAAAGCATTGCCTATGGAGATTTTTAGGTACCGTATTCTGGCACCATTCCATGGGCATACACGATTTTAAAGCTTGACATGTTAGGTATCTGCTTACTTGGTATAATATCATCTTTTATATTTTAACAAAAAATTGGGTATTACAATATACTGTGTTTTTGTTCACTAAAATTAATCAAAATATATTATTCTTAAAACAGTTTGCCTTTGAAAAACCACTGCGCAAATACTGTGTGACCTAAAAATTGCAATACCCATCATTTTATTTTCTAAGGCCTCTACAAAAAATAAAAAAAATAAAAAAATATGTATATATATATATATATATATATATATATATATAAAATGTTTGTATATAAAGTAATTTTCTAACAAACAAAAAAATTGCTGATTTGTACATGTATGTCACAAGTTTCAAAATAGGCCTGGTAGGGAAGTAGCTAAATAAACCATTGAAGGTCTTTTTTTTTGTATTTGTGAAAAAAAAAGAACTGTTGATCCTGACAGAGATCATTTGAACTGTAAACGTCCTGTGCTCCCTGCCTCTTATAAGTTACATTGTTTCCAGCTATCTATGTGGGCTTTATAACAATTCCCCACATAAAAAAAATATGACAGATGCAGTTCTTTTTTTCTATCTCTGGAACCTGTATGTCTGTCTCTGACCGTAAAAGTAAAAATCTGAAAAAAAAAAAACAAAACAGAATGCTAGAAAAAATGGCTAAGATCCTGAGATAAAAGCCTCTCCATCTAAAAAGTTCTGCTGAAAACCTCTGGCTTGTGTTTCTTTTAAATGCTCAAACCATCCTATTAAATACAGTATTTTGCAATTAATGTGGCAATATATTTATTAAGAGATGGCCCCTTTTTTTTTTTTTTTTACAGCTTCAGCATTGAACCTAATTATGACTTCTTGTATATTTACGATGGCGCTGATGGCAATAGTCCCCTGATTGGAAGTTTTCAGGACAGCAAGTTACCAGAAAGAATTGAAAGTGGTTCAAACAACATGCATTTGGCTTTTCGAAGTGATGGATCTGTTAGTTTCACTGGCTTTCATTTGGAATATAAAGGTGAGTTTAAAATATACAACATGTACCTTATCTAATTTATTTACTTTAGAGGCCACTTTAAGTGACGTATTATACCTATATGATATTTAAAACTATTTATTTAATGTTATTAATAAAATGTAATAATAAATATGACATTGCCTCCATATGTGGGCCTTCTTTCCTGTAGTTTATATGGGCATATAATTCATTTTTTTAAGGCTTCTTGAAGAATATAATTAAAGCCTGTACTGGTTGCACAAGATAGGTGACCACCCACAATAATGGTGCAATCAAACGTATCCAAAACAAGATCAAAAAGGAGACAAATCAGATTGGTTGTTTATTCCCTCCATTGCATCAAATCATTTCTGTTAAAGGCTGCATCTAGGGTAGATACGTTCTCCTGATGTATTGTTTTTTTGTTGGGTATACAGATAATTTACAGGTAGTTCACATCTTATCTTGGTGCTTTTACCATTACCTAGATGAGACCCAGAAACAAACTTCATGCCCTCAATAGATTTGCTCATAAAAATGTATGATATTATGGAAGTACAAAGGGGTTAGCCCATCTTTCTGTTCTTCTCTCACCATTGCTTTTGGTTTGACCCAAGCTAGACCAGGCTCATCACTGATGGCCATATACCTTGAAATATGAATGTGCAACCTATTTTTAGTCTCAGAGCAACACATAGGTCTATGAAACAAATTTGGAAGCTTTCAGTTACTGAAACATTTAATTAATTTAATATATGCAAAATAAAAAAATATACATACAGTATACCTAACGTGTATGATTTCAAAGGTCATAGAGAATTATTTCCCAAAATGTGATTATATAAAAATGTTAATGTTAGAAAATATTATATAAATATTGGAAATTATTCAGATGGGTGAGCCCATCCTTCAGTTTTTCTTTGAATGTTGCTTATAGTTTGACCCAAGCTGAATCAGGCTCATCGCTGATGGCCATATGCCTTGAAATATGAATGTACAATCTCTTTTCCATCTTAGAGCATCACATAAGTCTATAAAGCAAATTTAGAAGCTTTCAGTAACTGAAACACTTGTAATATAAGCTAAAAAAATAAAGCAATACTATACCTAAGGTGTATGATTTAAAAGGTAATAGAGACTTATTTTCTCAAAAAGGGAATAAATAAAAAAGTTAATGTTACAATGGATCATATAATATTCAAAATTATTCAGATGGCATTTACAGTACGTATGTTACAATTATAACTTCTACTTGCATTTTGTTCATTTGTAGAATAAGTGCTTACTCTCTAAGGGAAACTTACTTTTAGTAATGCTGCAATGTTTGCTTGCCTAGGTAAATCGAACAATAGTTCTTCATTTTCAAAAATGATACCAGCTACAGTCTAGATATTCCTCAGGTAACACACACAGGTCTTATCCTTCCTCCAACCTGTACTTGAAAAGTGAAGATGAAGCAGAAAACTGACCTGTACAGGGATCCAGCATTGTCCTCACCTAGGCCGCTGCTTCTCTGGTCTTCAGGACCCTGGCATTGGCATGTTTACTAAAGGAAGCTGGCTGTGAGTCCTTGCAGCTTCACAGCAGGCTTCCCACTGTGCATGTGTGAGCCATGCTGCTGAGTCCTACAGCCTCCTGGGACCTGTGACATGTTCCTGAAGGTTGCAAGGGAGCATGGAGGGTTGGGAACTTTGCTATGATTGCCTAGGCAGTCAGAGTGGAACAGGGAGCAGGTACGTTATAAAACTAGGTACCTGCTCCTGAAAAAAAAAAAAAAAAAAAAAAAAAAAAACCTCCAAAAGTTGGACAGGAGGAAGGAAGGAGGTTTTAGAGCAGCATTTCCCTCTTAGGGTGAAGTTCCTTTTTAAGCTACTTGTCCTAACAAGTTTATCATGTTTCTTATAATTGACCTAAATGATACATTATGAATTAATTTCAAGCGCTCATTTTGAAGTGCATAAAATTATGTAATATGCTGTGGTATAATCATAGTTATCATGAAAACCAATTTTTCTGACCAATGTTTACATTTTTCTACTTTCCATCTGGCCTTTGTACAGCTTGCTGTTTTTCAGACTGGGTTTTCCACCATCCTTCTTATAATATAGAATGGATTCATTATTGGAAATATGTTCTTTTCTGCACGCTTATATTCAAAACATATTTTGCATAACACACATTTTATAATAAGGTAAATTAAGACATATGTCTTGAGACACCCTGACAATTTGGTTTAAATTTTTGGAAGTTTCCATCAGCTTTCAACCATATCATTCAGTCAACCAGGGTTTTACTTGCTTTCTAGTTTCAAGCCGCCCATAATTAAAAATTGTGATGGATTTCAGTCAAAACCACTGTAGTGGAAAAGGTATTTTTAATTTATTTCCATGTCAGTTCAATTTAAAAATTTTCATCACTAAAATGGGGGAAACCATTACAACTGTGGGAGGCAGATTGGCATAGTTGGAACAATTGCAAAACTCTAAAATTGTCGAAAAAACTTGTAATGTCTAAAGCCAGAGTTACCCTTCTATACATATATAGGTAGGTCCCCCCCACAAAAAAATGAATGTGTTAGTAGCTTGGAGGTCAGAGGGAATCAGTGTGGACTGCAGGGAACCAATGAGATTGACACACTTACTTCAGGAGGGCAAGTTCTCATGAACAGAGCAGCATTTGGCTGTGAAGGTGGCAGGATATTAAGCATTTACTTTTTACAAGTATATCAGCTGAAAAAAGTATGCAGAATCAGATATTTCTTCCTTTTTCTTTCCCCCCTATAATAGAAAAGCAGTTACCCCTTGCTATGCTGGAGGAAGGGGGGGATCTAGGTAGTAATTTTTGACTGATGACTGAGGATCAACTTTAATCTTGGATAAGCAAAAACCAGAGGCCTCTATATTAAAACAGGAAATGGCATGAAGCTTGAAAAGTAATGATTCTGTAAGGTCTTTCATCTGCCTCTGGGAATCCTTAAGGCATTGCTTATTCATATTATCCAAAGTCATTGCATTTTCTATCTTAACACAGTGGTTTCCTAGATGATGGAGTTCTTCTAATTGCATATCGATCAGAAATACACACAGACATTTTCTCTGCATGGAATGTTTACATTTGTGTGATGCTTTTTGCTATCTTTCTATTTACAGCTAAATTAAGGGAATCTTGTTTTGATCCTGGTAATATAATGAACGGCACAAGACTCGGCATGGATTATAAACTTGGGTCTACTGTTACTTACTACTGTGATGCTGGCTATGTCCTGCAAGGATATTCTACCCTTACATGTATCATGGGGGATGACGGAAGACCTGGGTGGAACAGAGTATTACCAAGCTGCCATGGTAAGCTTTGCATACCAAAAATAATTTATACACATCGGATGTTGTTTTCTCAAAACAGAATAAAATCAATATGGGATAAGAAAAAACAGAATTGTTTGCTTGGATAAAGAGATAATATAGGAGTGCTAACCATATAATTATACTAAATCTTTTTAGTCCTCTTTTCAGCTCCTGAGGCTTATAGGATCTGTTTATAACTAGGCCAAAATGTAACAGAGAAAATTGTTCTAATAAATATGAAATATGTTGCAAACAAGGTGTTAACTAAAATGTGCCTCCTGATTTGAAATTCCACCAAGCAAGTAGGTGCCCTTTTTTCTGATATACAGTAGCTATATTTTAAACTCTCCTCTAATTCTTTCTTTTGCAAAAGAATGCCCCGCAAGTCACCCTTTTATAATAAAACCTCCGTATTAGAGCAAATCACAAAAAAGATTTAAAGACTTTGTCATAGATATAAAAGGCGATGGTTGTCAAGAGATGACGTACAACTGAGGTAGATCACAAATTAGCACCAAACCAAAAAAGCAACAATGGCAGCTGCTCTGAACTGTTGAAAATAAAAAAAAGGACAGGTTCATATGGGCAAAGTGATTAATAAAACAAAAGACCCCTGACACATTTAAAAAAGGAAAGAAAGACTAACTAACCTGTTTCAACTACTCAGATTACAAACAGATTTTAGTTCCAAGTTCCATACATTTTCAAATATTTGTGGAAGCCACACTGCCTCATCAAGGTATCTCTAATAAGTGTGATCCCTAGCTCTAAACTATATAGCAATGTATAAACAGAGAGCAGGCTCACCTGGAGGCAGCTATGCAACTACAGGACATAACATTTATGTATGTACAGATTAGAAATAAGAGTCAAAGTAAATGGCAGGGGACACAGACTTCCAATAGTGCTGAATGCTGAAGAGCCTGACAGAGATTGCAGCTCATGAACCGAGAAAGATTAGAGACTTGGGTTTCCTGGGAGGTGGCTATAAAAGCTCTTCTCTTAGAGGGAACTTCCTACAGGACATTTTTAAAAGACTGCCAGGGTCACTTTTAAAAAATAGAATAAGTTGACATTGCCTGCAAAAATTATTATACAGCCAAAGGGAACACTAAAATCACTCCTTAACCTGGACTTAGCCATCCACAGAACCTGAGTAATTCATGTGTGTCCATAATTAAATGGATTTAAATGGATTTGGCAGCACTACTAAGTTATGTTTTTGTTCCCAATGTCATCATTTTGCATCACTTAAATATAAAAAGCTCAACAACTGATTCGTATTGTGAAACTGCATTACTGTCACCCACAAGCTGCAATATCACAAATCTGAGAGATCTTTCACTAACAGTGACTCATTCTTCCACCACAGCACCTCATCATGCTCTATGACTGAATGCCTCCTACATATCATTGTATCAAGGCATTTACTTCCAAATGTGTCACGTTGACTAATATTAACCAGAATAGATGTTTTCTCATGTATATATCTTCCTGCATTCAATTTTCATTTTCAACTTTCTGCTCAGATTCAATCTACCTTGATTGGTTACTTAGGTATGAAATTTGGGATAAACATCACATTGCCTCACCTACTCATCCATATTTTGATAGCATTTTTTTTTATAAATTTACAGATGACTCTATTTTAGTTTTGGTTATATTTATTATGGAAATTTCCAGATAATTTATTTTGTAATGTTTACAATCCTACCATGCATCAATAATCAGGCATAATATTATGACCACCCACCATAACCTTTTGAGGCATGGACTCCACTAGATGTCTGAAGGTATGCTATGGTTTCTGGCATTAGGCCATCAGTAGCCGATCCTTTAAGTTATGTAAGTTGTGAGGTGGGTCCTTTATGGGTCAGACTTGTTTTTTCAGCACACCCACAGATGTTTGGTTAGATTGCAATATAGAGGCGATATAGAGGATTTGAAAGCCAAATTAACACGTCAGACTTGTTGTTGTGTTCTTCAAACCATTTATGAACTCATCAGAACAGGCCAGAATCTTCTATTGCTCAGTGGTCTTGTTCTGATGCTCACATGCCCATTGTAGTCACTTTGCGTTGTGGACATGAGTCGGCATGGGTACCTTGATTGGTCTGTGGCTACCCAGCACCATAAACAACAAGCTGTGATGGGCAGAATGTTCTGACATATATCTATTAATACCAGAAATTTGAACTACAGTAGCTCTGCTGTTGGATTGAACTAGACAGCCTTTGCTCCCCACATGCATCAGGGAGCCTTGGCAGTCCATGACCCTGTTGCCGTTGCACCTATTTTCCTTCCTTGGACCACTTTCGGTAGGTCCTGATCACTGCAGACCAGGAAAATTCCACATAAGCTGCAGTTTTGGAATTGCTCTGGCCCAGTCACCTAGCCATTACAATGTGGCCCTTGTCAAAATCACTCAAATTCTTACATTTGCCCATTATTTCTGCCTTCAGCACATCAATTTCAGGGGCAACCTGTTCACTTGCTTCAAATATATCCCACCCACTTGCAGATGCTATTGTAATGTAAAGTCACTTTACTTGCCAGTGGTCATGTAGTTATGGCTGATGTGTAAACCCAATCACCAAAATATCATATAAGCTTTATTGCTATAACCTCCCTGGCGGTATGATTATTTCAGATTTTTGGTGCTGAAAGCGGTACCATTATTTTGCATGGAAATAAGTACTTTTTTTATTGTAGGCCTGTAATTTTTAGGAATAACTCACTGAAATCTGTCCGAACAAGAGTCTAGTAAACATTCCAGATATGATAAAACTTGAAACATGAAATCATAAATTATAATTTAATAAATAATCATAAAAAAATAATAATATAATAATAAATTTAATTCAATAATATAATCAAACCAAAAGCATTAAAATTTTAAATATAGCGCCAAGTTCACACATCGCTGAGAAAAGTCGCAGAATCGTTTTCAGTGTCTGATGACAAATTTTCCCACAAATCATTATCACTCAATTCTGCAAGTGGTTCTAATTTACTATCGCTGTTCTCTAGCCGGTCTAAAACCGATTTTGACCTAAAGAGACGCTTTTTTGGATGCCATGGACATTTCCCAGTTTCCAGGCAGAAAGAACAGTCAAAATGCAGGCAGGGCACAGGACAACGCAGTAGGGACAAAATGTATGTGAAATGCTTTGAAACAGCAATGTTTTGCTATGTAATAATCATTTTAAAAAAAATGGCATTTTTTTAAACTTTAAAATTTGCTGCCGGTTCCGGTGCCCGTACGTCCCGACGTCACAGGGACCAGAACACGGAAGCCAGATGCCGGCATCGGCCGGAGGAGATGGCCAGGGACGCTGCAATGGACACGTCACAGGAGCGAAGGACAAGGTAAGTGCTGCAGGGAATCCCTGAGCAACGCCGCATGGTAAGCCCGAGTATAGCTCGGGGTTACCGCTTTTGGTACTGAAACTTTACCCCGAGCTACACTCAGGAATACCGCCAGGGAGGTTAATGTAATTTTACAAGGAATGTCAATATTTGTAAATTTTCATCTTCCCTTAAAATAATAGCTGTTGAACCAACTATGAAGGCACTTCTTCATGTCCTGTTATATGGTGACAATGCTCTGCTCCTGGCTTTTAGTTATGTTCTTGTGTTGTCACTGTGTTCCATGCTCTTCCAGTGCAAGCAAGCATGCTAATACTCATTATGCAGACATGTCCCATTTTTAATATTAAGGAAGCCAGCTCTAAGAAATGATGTACTGCAGTCACCAGTGTGCACATGGATATAGACACAAAAGAAAAAAAATTCTAAAAAAATATTTTATGTATAGCATAGGAAATGTTTAGGATACACAGTGCTTTAGTGAATGGAAAATCATTTAGTTAGGGTTTATGTCTACTTTAAAGAATCCCTATGCAAATTACAGAATTTTAATATAAATATACACAAAGAACACCTAATTAATCCTGTCTGTTTTTGGTTTTAAGATGTGAACTAATAAAAAAAGCTCTCCCCTTAAAAAATGTAGCCAGTGAGACAATACAGTATGTATCAAGCAGGGAATCTTTTCCCATCAAGGATTAGAAGATTACCAGCTCTAGAACTGGTTTGTAAACTGTAATTAGCACAGTATAGGTGCTATTGTGACTTTAAAACCAAAGGAAAACACCAACTTCTGTTTTGTAGAAATGTACAAAGTGTTAAAGGGCTCTATACAGACTGCAGAGCTTTTGTGAGTGCAGCTATATTGTAGCACAGCGGGATTCCCCCTCCATGTGTCGGCTATGGTTAGCAGGTCTTACTACCAAACTGCATTGCAACTAACAGCTCTTATTATCTAGAACTGATGATGCCAGCATATATTACAGTCCACTCAGTCTGCCCATCCATAATTACATAAGAACATAGACCTGCATCTGAATTCTTTTCCATCTCCTAATCAATTGAAAGAGACAGCAGTTGGTTATGTCAGAAAAATTAAAATTTTTAATATTTAGAGTATTTTTCTAAATGTAGTCTTTTATTTTTTTATTCAATCTAGAATTTAAATTATTTGTAACATGCATAGATTTTTTTTGTTTCTTGACAGTTAAATAAAATATTTTATTAAAATATTTTTGATGAAACCAATAGAGCACAGAAAGATATGTGTGACCAGTGAAAAAAAAATCTCAGATCTGATTAACCACTTGCCTACTGAGCACTTTTACCCTTTTCCTGCCCAGGCCAATTTTCAGCTTTCAGTGCTGTCACACTTTGAATGACAATTGCACAGTCATGCAACACTGCACCCAAACAAAATTTGTATTTTTTTTTAGACATATAGAGCTTTCTTTTGGTGGTATTTAACCACCACTGTTTTTTTTTTTGCTAAACAAACTAACAAAAGACTGAAATTTTGAAAAAAAAAAAGGTTTTTTTTTTAGTTTCTGTTATAAAATTTTGTAAATAAGTATTTTTTCTCCTTCACTGATGTTCGCTGATGAGGCTACAATGATGGGCACTGATAGGCT